GTGCAGAATTCATTACACGACCAATTCGAACCGTGCTGCACCGTTACGAGTTCGTTCCTTGTCGCCACCCAACAAGTCATCGGTGTAGCACTGCGGTACTAGGAGCTGTACCAGGTACGTGCGGTATGCCACAACACGTGGGGGTCGACCCTTCTGCCATCTGATTTGCTCTTGGCGCATACGTTCAGTTGCGGTACGAGGCGTGAAAGAACCGCACAACTCGAACCAGACAGCGTCCGATACAACGTTCATGCAAAGCTCCTCGACCGACGACGAGCTCTCGTTTGCGACCATCACGGCGTTGCTCGCAGGAACCACCGACCTCGACGACATGACGAGCTCGTCCTCATCTTCGTCCTCCAGTTCGCCAACACTGCCAGCCCGCCAAACCGCCAAAAACACCAAGCAGCGCTACATCCGGCCCAAGCAAGAGCTCGAGTCGCTTCACGCCGAGCGTGCGAGACTCGTCCGGATGCTGAACGCGATCCAAGCACGGCTCGACAGTGTTCCGGCATCCGCGCGGCGCTGGCAAACCCGCGCCATCGAGCAAGCCCAAGGCGTCCAAAAAGCCACCCAAGAGAACGCCAAGCTCAAGTGTCTGCTTCGCGACCAGCGCCAGACGATGGCGGCGCTAAAGAAGCTTCTCACGACACCCCCGTCCGCGCTGCCACCTCTCGGTGTGACGTGGAAGCAGGCCATCCTCCAACACACGCACCGCATGAACGACGTAAACCGCCTGCTCCAGCACCAGTTCGACAAGCGAAGCAGCGAGTGGGTCCGTTTTGGCTTGTACGACGTCCGTGACCGGTGTCTCGAGATGCGCAAAGCGTTTGTGGATCCATTGCGCAGCTCGGACGAGACGTTGTCAGTGGTCTTTCTGCTATCAAAAACCGTGCTCTTGCCTGTGACGACCGTCAGCAACGTGCTCTGGCACCACAAGGCGCAGCCCACGCATGGCACGGCACTGGTACTCGCTACACTTTATTGATGTTATGTCTTGATGCTTCCAATGCCTAGGCACTCGATGGCTCCCAAGATGACGATCTCGCCTACCACCGGTACGTTGTCCAAGCTGCCATGATCGCAGGAGAACGAATATGGGTCGTAGCGACCAAGTTCACTTGCCAGCCCGAACGCTACCGCCGATCGAGGCCCGGACGGTGCTAAAACGCTACGTCCAGGACGAGCACAATGTCACCTTGGTGTGGCAGTCGGTCGCCAGCGACCCGCTGTACCCACACTCGACCAAGGTCGTCGGCCGCCGCGAAGGCTGGTAATAGGCAGCGGCTGTTTCCGCAACCTCGTGACGAGAAAACGTAGGACAACGATCGACGCCATCAAGGGGGGCGCGTTCGTGCAGCTGTTTGTGCGACTGTCGCTGCCAATGTTGCTATTGACGAGCGAGACCATGTCGGAACTTGGCGTCCATGAGGTTGTCTTGCACACCTTTGAGACCAGCTGCTTACAATTTTGCGCTCAATTGGACCGAGTGATCCGCGCCTGTCAGCAGCAACAGACCTTCGAGTGGCAGTAAACGTAAATGTAAAGTGTGTACCAGTCCTGGAGTGCACCGGGAATTGCGGATGTGAGAGGACGGGTTGGGTTGATCCGACAACCTAGTGCTTAATTTGGTAATGTTGAAAACAGTTGCCTAAGAACCTAAGAAAGGCCGCACCTCCTAGTCCAACAAGACAAATACGTTCGCGCAAGATGAGTACGAGGTGGCTTCGATCGAATCGACGAAGAAGTGCTGGTTGAAGATCCACAGAGCAGCATTTTCCCGCCCATGGGAAAGCCATCAACAGGAAGCGAGTGGCCATTCCGGCCTGTGGCATTGATCGAAGTCTCAACGTGTCCTGCTCACTAAAGCGTACGACGACTCTGGCGTCAAGGTGTCGCTGCAGTGAGACGGGCGAGCCGCCGGCATTTCGGTACGCCACGTGAGCGATCTCGTGAGCGATGGTCTGGTCGTCATAGGACCTGTCGCTTGGCTTCGCTTGAGATTCGCACTACATTTAATTAGTGTTTACTCCACCACGTCGTCTTCTAGAGCACCTATATAGTGAAAGTACATTAGATAAATAGAGATGCATCGTCCGACGCATTCCCACGTTCGATGGACAAGTGTCGGAATGGTGTTGGACTGACATATCGCATGGATGGTGGAGAATGTGACGCAGAAAAACACTGCAGCATACAGTAAACCTCGCTGCATTGCTGCTTGCTAACCCGACGGGACATTGTTTGCACGGCCCCCTGCGACGCGTCATCGGGTCGACAACCCTACCCCGCAGCATGCCACGCAGGCCCACCACAAACTCTATGCTCAGTCATTGTTCCAACTTGGCGTAATTATCGGAATTGCAATCACTGTCATTGAAAAGTAGTGGAAGATTCTTGAAGCCGACCAAAGAAGGGTGCAAATGCGACGAATTGCCCCTCATCATGAAGCGTGGCGTCCCCAATGCAAGCAGATGGCGTATCGCATCATGGCACACTACGGTGACGACCCCGTTGTCATTCCACGCAGCTTCAACGCTGTCGGGAATACCAAATCTCCAGAACAAGAACATGACTACTTTTTGCATGTCGTAACCCACGGGCAAACGGTGCAACTATCGAGCTATCGGATTATCGGATGGCTGCAAAACCGCCTTTCCTACCGGAACAACAACCTCAGAGTACTTTTGCATCTGCGTCATCGACAACACCAACTACATGGCAACCTTGCACAACGACGAGAGCGAGCACATTTCGCTTGCGACCATCTCGGCGTTCCTCGCACCGACGACCGACTTTGGCGACTCGACATCATCGTCCTCTGCGTCCTCGCCGCCCACCTCCCCGTCCAGCACCACAATGACCTACCTACGCCCCAAGCAAGAGATTGAGGTACTCCGCGTCCTCCATACAAAGCTCTCTCGCCGGCTACGCAAGCTCCAGGCGCGGCTTGCGATGGTTCCCGCCGTGGCGCTGCCATGGCAGGCCCGAGCGATCGAGCAAGCGACCGGTGTTCAACGCGCTCGACAAGAGAGCACTCGGCTCCAAGAGATGGTAGCCGAGCGGGCCCAGGTCATCGAAGCCCTGCAGCGAGTGCTTATCAAGCATCCCAAGTCTGCGCGCCGCGATGTCTCGTGGTCACAGGCCATATTGGGACCTTCGAATCGCGCGCTGCATTTAGAGCAACTCTTGCGGAACCAGTACGAGAAGCGCTGCAGCGCCTGGGTTCGCTACGGCTTGTACGATGCCCGAGACCAGTACTTGCAAGAGAGCCGGGGGTTTGTCGAACGCAGCTCAAACGAGACGCTGTCGTTGGTCTGTCTTCTCTCGAAAAAGGTGCCGCTCTCTGTGCACGACATGAGTGCTTTGCTGTGGCAACTCAAATCGCGGCCCCTCGAAGGGGACTGTACGGTACTGTGTGAGGGTTTGTACTACGATCTATGACAGCCATGTGGACTAGGTACTGGAAGAGTTGCACGCCGACCTCCTCTACTTTCGGTGCTGTTTTGCATCGAGGTTTAGGGTCTAAATTCCGAGGTCGTCTAGGGAGACACTGCATCTACCGGCGCCAAATTTGCCGCGCATTGAGGCGCGGACGGCACTGCGACGGTATACCGAAAGCAACGACAGCGTCGTCTTTGCGTGGCGCTCCATTGTCGACGATCACCTGTATCCGATCGACGCACGCCACGTCATCGGTCAACGGGATGGCTGGTACCCTTTTCCAGGACGTTGTGCAAGGAAAAGACTATATTCGTGCGCACTAGGGCGACGGTTCAGGCCCTGGACGACGGGTCAAGCACGTTCCTGCAAGTGTGCGTGCGACTTTCGCTGCCGACATCGGCGCTGTCGACCACGAGTACGCTAGCGCCCGAGGCGCTCGCCACGCTCGTGCTGTCGCTGATGGAGACTAATTGCACTTGCCTTTTCAACCAGCTCGACCGGATAGTGCACAGCTGCCAAACAAACCATTATGAACTGTAACAAGCGCCTTGTCATTTGCATGCGGCCGGCTCAAGCTTGGTGTTCCTGCTCGCGGAACGCTCCAGATA